CTATGCGGATAGAAACTTTCTTGGTCGTCGGGAGCGATAAGAGCTGGCCATTTTCGTGCCTGTAGGAACGAAGGCTGTACTTGGAAGTTATGGAACTCACTCCTCGCCGTCCTGGTCGCTGTATACTCACGTAAGTGAGAGAGCCGAATGATCATACTCTAACCTATACACTATACCTCTACATGGTGGTGATGGTGTTGTTCTTCTTCCTCTTTCCTCCGGAGGCCGCCCAAGACCCTCTTCACAGTTGCTCGAAACTCACCATTCTCTGGAGCGCTGTGCGTGGCATTCCCTGGATCCAGAGCCAATCTTCTCAGATAGGAGAGAGCCTCTGGAAGAGCAGCGGTGGATGCGAGTGAAGAAGCCTCCACATTTTTGGTGGCATTTGCATTGAAGATGTGGCCACTCTCCAAGCTCTTGAGGTATTTGAGATAGACGAGCTTGACGCTGGGGCCGCAATGCGGGGGTAAGCCCATGGAGGTGGCCACAGTGCCCCACTTCCTGGCACCACTGGCCTTGGTGTACCCACCAAAATCTTTCACCTTGGCGAGGAGGAGAGGGAGGTCTACCTGGGTGCCGCCAATCAGGACTGTGAGTGGCCTCTCCCCTGGAGATCCTCTGGCTTGGAGGGCTCTTCCCACCAGCTTCACAACTCTATCACCTGTTATCGCCATTTCCACTCAGAAAAACCCTTACCTAAACAGAAAACTTTTTAACTTTGATTATGAAAAATGATTTTTCCTCCTTGCATTGTTTACCTCTTCAAATAGAGGAGAGCTCTCTTTGGACGATAGCGTTCAGGATCCAGCATCACTATATGAAGATGGAGGTCCTCCAGATCCAGTCCGTGGCCTTCATTACATATCAGCATGTGTATTTAATATGAAATGCAAACACTTTTGTGAAGAATGTAACCTATTGAATTTTTTACATTTGGAAAAACTTTTTGCAGAATTTTGTACATGAACTAGGCCTTTATAACCAAACAATTTATTGTTTGTTTTATGTTTTGAGTCCTGTGATACTATTCTAGAGGAATATTATAAAATCTGGGGGCCAGAAGAGAATTTACAAACTCTACATGCTGTGAGTTACACTTCTCACTTGCTCGATCACAAGATGGTGGTGCCATTCTACATAATGTTTCAAGTTTGTCATCTTTATGTTTGCCTGTGTTGTTTATTTGAATAGAAGGGATCTCTTGTCGTCTTTGTGTTTGCCACTTTCCACACTGTGTTGTCTATCTGAATAGAAGGGATCTCTTGTTGTCTTAGAGGAATGAAAACTTGGGTGTATCACAAGATTACAAGGAGAATGCATGACCCATCAAAGAATTCTAGTCCTAGCCACTAATCAAGAAATTGGAGAGGCGGAAAATGATTATATTTCTTAACAAGCGAACTGTTTATACAAGATCATAAAGAAGAATGATTACCATTACTCCACCTCAAGAGAGCAAATTCATTCCATTTCTTTTATGTCCAAACTTTTCCAACGTAACCCTAATTTAAGCTTTAGCAAATCTGTTTGAAGTTTTTCAATGAGCCGCTAGACACCAAGACATTGTGTGAGGTCATGTCGCCAGCCGAAAGCCTTGAGGTGGACTTGACCAGTCGACTCTAGCTCGGATGATCTAAGGAAAGACACCGAAAGAGATCCGGACTGCCAGACGATCTAACTGAATGTTATAAATCTCTCACAGGCATGGCAAGAATCAAGTTCGTTATGCGAATTGTTTAACTCCTACTCGGCTGTGGACAAGGGATGCATTTTGCTGGCGAGCTTCATGCAGATTGGAGATGTAGACATGGTGTCGTGGATGAAATTGCAGCACAGCACAAGATGAAGGCAGAGAAATGTTTGATCGATAAATCTCGTGAACACAATGCTAGAAGCATCAAATTCATGATCACGGCTCTTTCTCCCCAAGGTGGATATTGTGCTCTTTCAATTCGCTTAGGACCACCAAAAGTACAACACAAGTGTCCACAAGCCATCCAGCAGGCTGTCCAAGGATTCCTCATCCCCGCAACAACTAATTAAGTTAACTCTCCAGTTGTTTTCTTCTTCCCCTTTTTTTTCTGCCAAGTTTAGGGTTCATCGTTGAAGGGCTAGAGGACGAGATGTCTTGGGGTTGGGGTTGGGGTCGCTGCCCGGTCCACTCTGCCCAGGTAGGCCGCTTCGCACGGTAAGTTCGTTTAGGTAGGGCTTTTCTTTGCATGAGCAATAAGTGAGTAAAGAAAGCAAAGCTGCTTGCAACGAGCTGAGGTATGATCAACGATGAAAGAAAGGCTAGTGGCGATCAGGAATTCGTGTTGAACCTCTAACGTTTGAAGACGATTGCAACGCAAAAAGGAGCTCAAACAACTCAGAAAATCAAAGTGCAAAACAACGGGCCAAGGATGTGGACAATACGAACGATCATTGAAAGTTGACAATACTTAGCTTCAGGTTTGCGTGTGTTTCAATTGGTTCTAATTTCTTGCCATGAACAAGCCAAGTTGCCTGCTCAACGACGATAAGAACTGAAAAACACCGTGTCTGCCAAGAAGAATAATGCTACGAGATTGGAGATATTTTGTGTCAACGTGATTGTCAACGCTTTGAGTTATGTTGTTGCTGCGCTCAACGCAAGACCTGCGAGCTGAGAAACAACGTCGCCTGCGATCTTCAGAACCTCAATCCAGCTGAAGACGTACATGACAATGGTCCAACCTCAATGACCATGAAAACTCCAAGGGCAAAGGAATGCCTGTGCTCTCAATGGCTGTAAGAAGCATAGTGATCATAGCGTGAAAGACGCTCACTCGTATACTGTTTGTTTTGTTTGCTGTTCAACGAAACGGACATCGGTTCGTGAACTGTTTATTCTAACCAAAATGTATGTTCAACGAACTGGACAACGCCCAAAAGGGCTAGAGGCTTCAACCTTCCAGTCTATGTTCTCTATAGTTTTCTTTATGGTTTCTTTAACTTCTTTTTGCTTTTGCAACGGTGCCATAGAACAACGTTAGATGGAAGTTTACGCTTTGGCAGTGGCAAAACCGGACGATCTACACAGAGCTACCCTGTGGTTTCCCTGAAAAGAAATGAATACAGTTACAAAGTTGCAAGTAGTTGTGTCAAAAAACACCAAAGTAGCTTGGGAGCTTCCCAGAGACGAGCATCTGGGCGCTGTGGCAGCTACTCAAGAGCTCGTTAAGCCTCCTGTAGCTGTCCGAGCTTGAAGACCTCGGGCACGTCACTTCCAAAACTTAGCTCGGTAGGGGATTCTCATGCCTTGTTCCAGAGCTTTCAGTCTGATCATCTAGAGCCGAGCAAGTCTTGATGGCCGCGAAGAAAGTTCCGGAATCCGGTGCAGAGCCCTGGCATGAGAAGGCTTCCAGTTCTCTGCGTGTCCCAAGATGAAAGCGTTCTACATTGTGGCAAGGCATCCTGTCAAACACCTCCTCGCCTCAACCAGGCTGCCACACCTCCCATACATGCCAATCAAGCTGCAAGAAGTGTAGAGATTGGAGCAAACCCCGCTTTGGATGGCGCGATTCCCCTCTCTAAATCCTTGGAGCTCCCGCAGCATTTCAACCCTGAAAGGAGCTCTACTGAACAGTTTGTGCTGTGAACCTGGCATTGTCCCAATCTGTGGCAGTACCTGTGGAGCGCGGGTCGAAGGAAATGCATCCATCCGTCGAGCGCCAAAAGAATCTTTGTGCCTTTAAATGACAAGGCAAAATTTCCTCTTCTTCTCACTGCCATTCTTTCGTGGGGCTTTGCGTCCATGGGAATTTGATGTGGCTCTTCTCAGTGCGTTTTAGTTTCTTTTGATAGGAACCAAAGAAACTTAAGGATTCGAACCTTGGACTTGTGATTCATAATCCTCAGCAACCGGGTTCGCATTATTTTATTATCGACTTATCCCACACACGGCCAACGTTTCTTCTCCCGCGCGAGACGCCACTGCCGGGAAGGTCTTCAGAGCCCATCGTGAGCAGCGTCGTCCAGGTGAAGGTTTGCTTGGCCTAGCCCGGGCATATCGCCACAAGCAGCGGATTCCACGAGACGAGGCGGCATCGGGAAGGAGGCGTTTGATCAAAACCTTGTGGCGTGGAACACGCTGCTTGCTGCATACTCGAGGCAGGGGCTTGTGAAGGAGGCCCCGCAATTCACACACTTTGTGTTGACGGTGATAGTGCTTTGCTCCACTCAAATCCGCCTTGCATCCTTACGCCTACACAGTGGTGCTTGAGCTCCAGGGGAATTTGCTCGGGGCCCTCGCTAGCGTGTCTTCCAAGTACGTCTTCACACCCAGATTCAGACCGATTCAAGAGTTTGCCTCAGAAATCCTCCCTTCTCATACCGTCAGCGAAGTTCCTGGGATCCATCTCCAGCCGCCCAGACAGTCGTCTCCGCTGCTCCTGAAACAACCTTGGATCCTGGCCGCTTCCCGGAACAAGACTTCCACTCATGTTTGCCAAAGGAAGAATCGTTGCTGCCGCTGTTCCTGGAAAGTCTTGCGATCCATATACTAGTGGCTGAGCGGCCTCTAGAGCTTCTCCCTGTCTCCCGACTCCTCTCCTCCAAGTCCTCGAAAGTCTAGAGTTGAGATCCCGTGACTTCCTGGCATGAAATGTTGCTGGTGTGGTTGGAATAGACGATGAGAAACGTTGTTGACGCTGTGGAGGTTCCCAGAGGAAGACTGTAAGATCGGCTTGAGAAAACCAGGAACTAGCTGAGACATCTTTGATCGTTGTCCAGCGTCATGGGACACTATCAGTGGCGGCCATGTTGAGCTGCCAGCTGCTGATAATTCTTCCACTCCCACTATGATAGACGATGAGGCCCTGGATGCCTTGAACTTATAGTGTCACTGCCGCCGACTATGACGCTTGATCCACCACCTGTTCGATGGCATGCCCGAGAGGAGCCTCGTGTAGTGGTTGGCGATGCTAATGGTGTTTGCAAACTGCGGCTGCATAGATGACGCCACAAGGCTGTTCGATGCCATGCCGATAGCCATGATCACCGCTTGTGCCGACCGCGACCTGGCCCGAGCCAAGGACGCGTTTGACGGGTGTTTGCACGACATGGCAAGGTTGACGAGCCTCCCCGAGCAGGACATGTTCTCTTGGGATGCCCTCTTAGCCCCACAGCAAGCATTTCTCTCTGTCAGCGTGCTGGATCGAGGTCTGCATTACTGGGCTGGTGTCTGCGGTGCTCAAGGCTGAAAAGCTAGTGCTGTGAGATGGCCTTGCCTGGGCCCTGGGGGTCCTAACCCCAAGAAGCATCACTCCTCGTGGGTCCATTTTTTTCCCCATTCTAAAACCAACATTAGTCACTAACAAAACTTGCTTCTTGGGCAATGAACAAGATCAAAACACTAGCGAGCTGAGATAAGAGGGGTACTCATCTTCATATTGAATCTCCAGGGCCTTCTCTACTTCCAAACACGTCACCTTGCTCTGCCGTGGAGGTTGATGGGCTCGAGTCGGAACCAGCCATTGATCTTCTCCATGGCCAAGATCCGCCTGACATCGACATGTGTTCTGGAGGGATGGAGGTTGATGGACTCGAGTGAGGGATCTGGATAAATCGAAGAACAAGGCAACTGGATGTTTTCGCAAAAATCTCTGCCAGTGGTCTTTTTATGTATGAAGCTCGAACAGGGACTTGAGCAATCCAACCAGATCCAAAAAAAATCTGGGTGATATATATAGAAAGTCTAGATAAAATTGCCATCATAAGCTGGAGGTGGACCAAATTCCACTTAATGAATATTTCCTCAATTAACACTTACATAGAGAACTTTAATATTTGCTGTTGAGAAACAAAGAAGAAGAAAAAGTTATTTGAACTAGAAAAATTAGAAATGGGATCATCCAACAAGCTCGTGTGTCTTTGGCTGACAATAAGTATGTGTTGGGCTTGTCGTCGTCGGCGTCCAAAGCCTGTGTTCTTGATTCCTCCGAGATGCTAAGTCTTGGCTGGGCCAGTCGGCATTTAGTCTCCTTGCAAAATCTTCGATTTCCCTGAATCTTAATCATTGTATGTCACCTTGAACGAAACGAGCGCCTGAAAATTGGACTGGAGATGAAGAACCTTGCTTTTTGAGCTCTAGAGACGAGAACAATGCTCTCAAAGGAAAAAAATGTGGAAGAAGGGAGTACACACGCGCATACCTCCTTTGAGAAGCTGTCCTGAAGAAGGGGATGTGATTCTCTGGAATGCCATGATCTCAGCATATGCTCTGAAACATTTGAGTGTTTAGTTAACAAATAAAGTTGGTTTTAGAATGCAAACCTGGAGGCTAAGTTGCGAATGTTGTGGTTCCACTCGTTTCACGCACGAATCAATGGCATTGCTACTCCATCACCATCACCAGATGGAGAATAGCCTTCATTGCCCTCCCAAAGCTGTGATGTCAATTCATATAGCGGTGGCGTGGCAGGGAAGACTATAGTTCAAATTTGCACATTGATATACTTGCCTTCTGCAGCTCCATCCCAAGAACGTAGAGCTTGCTGCCCAGAACCTGGCTCCCCATGTCTTTAGTGATACAAGAATATCAAATGTATTCTTACAATGTATGGCATAGCTCCACCACATTATCAAGAAGGTGATTAACAAAGTGAGTTGGTATTGATAAAATTTCCTCAACTCAGAGATCCATGGATGAAAGAAGATTGAGTTGGTAAGTAACCTCAAAAGTATGAAAGAGCATAAACTTAAATATTGACTTTTTAAATTGTTACAAGAGCAAGTGGTGATAACAAAGAAGACAAATCTTGGTTGGTAATTTGTCATCTTGGGTATAAGAAAGGACTAATTAATATGATTAAAGAGGATAAAAGCCATAATTAACAAAGAATAAAAACGAAGAGTGTTAAGAATTGTTATAAATAAACTTATTAGAAAGAAGAAACTCAATCATGTTGATGAGAAATATTACTTTTAAGTGTTTAAATAATATACTTTAATTGCCCATCATCTTGAGGATGATAAGAAGTTGACAACTTACCTTTGATGTGGAGGAAAGAAAGAAATTAGTGCTAAAAGGTGAAAATAAAATTAAAGATTTTGATCACTAATAATATTATCTAGCAATCCATAAAAGCAAAAAATGTCATTTTGAAAAACCAATCAACCACAATAAAGACAGTATCAATCCTCAAGAATACAGAAGATTAATAAAGAAGTTTATAGAGGCAGACATCCAAAGCCCAAAAGTAAAAAGAAGTGGCTAGAGAAAATTAGATAGAGCATTTCAAGGCGTTTTAGACTGCTAATAAATGAATGAAGCTATCTATTTCATAAATGTTTGTGACAAGAAGGTTTAGAGATCAACCACTAAGAGAAAAATAAATATGTATGTGAGTCCAAACAAAATCCACTCTCAAATTGTTATTTAGGCTCCTTTGTAGGTATTCTTCTATGTGATCTAAAATGTATTATTGATCACGATCAAGAGAGATCATTCGTAAAAAATGTATATTTACTAGCACTTGATTTTTCTAAAATTTTATTTTCAAGGTGGACAGAAAGAGATTTTAGCAAAAGCATATTAGGCTACAAAAGGTAAGGCAAGATCAAAAACTTTAATCATGTATAATTATGAGAATAAACATAATTAAAACCATGATCACTTCCCAATTATATAGGCATGAAAAGTGCCCTCTTATTGTGCTCTTGTCCAATTAAAATGAACCAAAGTTGAAAACAATTAAAATGTAGGTGATATCATCAAATTGTTTGCTATAGTAACCAGCATTCTTTGTATAATCATTAGGTAGTTTATTTAGTACAAGTAAACCTCAATTTGTCATACCTAGAGGTGACTTCAATTTGCTGCATTAGCCAAATTCTATTGATTATATTGCCTTGGACTTATTGTAGAAGAATTAACTAAGATATAGTCTAAGGTGGCCCCATGATCATAGACTTTGCCCATCCAGATTCATGATCCACTCATTGTAACTTGGATTTTAGACTAGTGGCTAACCTCTGGATTGATGGAATCCATTAGCTCATTGATAAAAGGTCAAATGGAGGAAGCAAGGAGAGGTGAACTTTGTTGTGAGGAGAGAAGCTCCTCCAAGCTTCTTTTGCTTGAAAGAGGCTGCAAATGCTGAAAATATAGATAGTGGGTTGATAATGAATTTGGATTAGAGTCCATCAAATAATATATTTCTAGAACGACAAATTTAATAATCAGAAACTACGATTTTAATTTTCAAATAATAATTTAGAAAAAACAAAAGAGATGAAACTTTTGTCAACAACTTTGTCCCGGGACAAAGTTATATAAATTTAAGAATTTATAAACCCATTAAATCTCTATAGGCATGGAATCTCAAAAATCCCATATATTAGTGTTTATTGCTATGGTTGTTTTTTCTTTTTGCATTAAAAAGACTCCTCTATACACTTCCAAAGGTGCATTACAACATTCCAAAGAGGAACAAATTATCAAGACTATTGTAGGTGTGTGAACCTAGTTTGGTATAGATTTGCTTTTGGTTTATCTATGCCAGGATATTATACAGCTCGAGTTGGAAGTTTGGGTTGTTTTTTCAGGGTTAGGCAATCCCATGAATTTATATTTAGGGATTTCATAGAAGCAGTTAGTGATATATGGGATATATGTTTATTTTATAATAACCCAGGAGGTATAATTGCGCTAAGTGATATCTCTTTATGAGTAGATTATTCAAGAGATGAGCTTAGGGAGACAAACTCTTCTATAAATATGTCAATGGTATTGTTTAATTGTAATATTTAACTTACAAGTCTCTAAAAACAAATAATTGATGTTTTTGGGTTACTACCACAACTATTATTTTGTAAAAATAAAAATGCTTCGTTTCTGAGACATCCAAATATATTTTAGGATATTCTTCAATCTATTTCTTTTGTAAATGTTTACTATTAATTTTTCTTTATTTAGGACCTTGTTACTAATATTTATAACACAAAGCCATCCTGAATCCGATTAGAAGAAGCTCAAAATTCTTGCCGTGGATGTCTAGAGAAAGATCGTGAGGAAATCACAACGCTCTACGTCAATGGCAAGACCGGTGTCACAGGTTTGATTGGTATGGGATGAGAAGGGCTAAGGCAGGTTTCCTTGATCACTGCATGGGTGTTTGGCTTTGAGAATGTTTAGTAACAATAAAAAGAGCATACTAGAGCATGAAGAAAGAATAAAATATATGAGATCTTCTAGAGGGATGGATATTTTAGGTAGCAAAACGAATGAAGAAGGCTTATTTTGGATATGAAGAGATGAGGGAGAAACTTGTGGCCACTAAAAACTTCATCAATATGCAAAGACTATTCTTCTTGGAGAGTTTTACATCAGCAAACAGTTCAACTCAAGCATAACAGCTGCAAATATCTAACAAATATAACAGAAATAGCATAAAGACATGAGGTTTTTTAAGAGGTGAGTGCTAATATTACATATAACACACTTATTAAACTGTTACTCCAGCACGACTTGGCTGCTGGGGGGATGCTCTCGATTGGGACGGTGGTGAGGTCAATGATGCAGAGCGTGGAGGTGATGCAGTTCTTTTAATACTCTCACATATATAACCCCACTATAAGAAATGAAGTTCCTTATGTTTCTCTAGTGCTCTCTATGGAGCAAGCACCATGTCCGTGGACTTCTAGAGGATGTACCAAAGTTGAAAAAGTGGTTGAGAAATTCTCTCACCATCTTGAGATTTGACATGATCACCAAGCCAGTGTTTATATTGTGAGAGGTAGTGAGGAGTGATAGGATGGTTGATAATTGGCAGTCGAATGGGTACTGATAGCAAATTGAATGTGCTGGAGAAAACAACCAAGCGTAACACCATTGTACAAACTTCCAACAAGATGAGAGTTGCATTAAAGCTGTTGAGTTGGAGAGGTCTGGTTGCAAGCTAGTTGTAGAAAAAGAAGAAGATGAAAGTCATAAATGAAAAAAATTGTTTAAAATTTAAGTAAACTCTGGCTCACCAACAATGATCTTATGAGGACTTGGTGGTGGAACACATTAAATGGGGCATGATATAGTTCTAATAAAGAAACATGGTTAGAGATTACAGAGAAAAAGACGAGACTAATCATTAGAAGTGATCAGTATAAGCAATATTAAATAATGTGTGAGACAAGTGTTGGATGAAATTAATATATCCAATGATAATAAAGGCCATAATTGAAAAAAATGATGCATCCAAAGGTCTACTGAACTCCATAATTCTTATAGGAACTTTATAAATGCCAGCAATAGGAATTCTCCCAGAATGGCCAAACATCTTTACTCCAAACCCTGAATGCCTGGTTGTAACAAAATTGGATGGAATAACTCTTCTCCCTGGAGGCCTTTGGTTATCGGATGAAGCAGTTCGTGCTTTGAGTATTATCCAGTGAAGCATCCAATCAGAAAGAGTTTGTAGTGTTTATGCAAGACTTCCACAAGTTTACATGCTTTTGAGTCTTTTAGTGTGCTGTTAAAGTGTGCTTCGATCTTGATGTTCCATGAAATGAGATCTTTCATCAACAAGCTGCAATTTCCATCCAATCTTCCCATGCATGGACGAGAATAACTCGAGAGCTCGCTCAGGCTCACCACCTATTGCATATCCCATGAACATACATTCCAGGAGACTGAATCCCGCTGATCGAAAACTCGGCGCCAAAATGCCGGATCAGATTTTAGGGTTCTTTGGTATGGGTTTAGGGCTTTTGCGCCAAAACTCTAGGGCAACGCAAACTATCAGGAACACGAGAATGCCCAGTCTCGTTCGTCCGCATTTTGATTCGGATCGAGGGCCTCGATGATCAGCGCTCTATGTGGCGCCGGATTGCGCCGCCTGGGAGCCGGCATTTGAGCAGCGAGGTGAGATCGAGAACGAGCATTCCCAAGGCTGCGGCTCACAATCCTGGTAGGGAAGTGTATTCGCCTCCAAAGTGCTCGCCGGTGGCGGCCAGGATCATCGGCTTGCTGCGCGAGGCCGGCGACGAGGATGATTTGGATCGGGTGATCGGGGGATGGAATGGGATGCTTGGAAGGTACACAGTAGTGGGAGAGGTTTTGCGGCATTTGGGGAAGATCTCCACGATCGTGAGGCTCTTCGATTGGCTGGGCAGGCAAAAGGGATACCAGCACTCGGTCTTCACGTATAACTGCTTCCTCGACGCTCTAGCCAAGGCAAACGCTGGCCAGCTCGCCTATGAGAAGTTCCAGCAGATGCAAAGGCGTGGCTATCCTCCCGACGATTTCACCTACAGCATTGTTCTTCGCGGCCTCTGCAAGGCCGGGGAGCTGGACAAGGCCAAGGAGCTCCTCGGCCAGCTACGCGAGAGTGGAGTGAAGCTCAACGTGATAACTTACAGCGTCGTGATCGATGGCTGCTGCAAGGCGTCGAGAGTGGACGACGCTCTGGAGATTTTCAAGACGATGAGCTCCGGTGGTGGCTGCGTTCCGGACGTGGTGACTTTCAATAGCTTGCTCAAGGGGCTGTGCTCGGGCGAGAGGATGAGCGAGGCTTTCGTGCTCTTTGAGTACATGGCCAAGGCTGGTTGCGAGCCAAACGTGATAAGCTACAGCACTCTTCTCGACGGGCTCTGCAAGGCTGGGAGGCTGGACGAGGCTTGCCGGCTGTGGGAGGAGATGGTCGAGAAGAGCTGTGTTCCAGACCTTGTAGCGTATACTTCCTTCGTGACCGGGCTTTGCAAGGCGAACCGGGTGGCCGAGGCTTGCGACTGCTGCCGGAAGATGGTCACGAAGGGGAGTAAGGCGGACGCTGTGGCGTTTAGCACCGTGATTGGGATTCTCTGCAAGAAAGGCCATGCCGAGGAGGCCCAGAAGTTGCTCGTCGAGATGGTGGGAAGCTGCTTCGGTCGCAAAAGAGTGACCGTGGAGGAAGGCCAGCTAATATCACTGTCCGATGCTTTGGAGCTCTTCGCGTTTCTTACAGAGAGGGGAGTTCCAATCGACTCGTCAACATTGCACACCCTCGTCTGTTGCTTTTGCATGGGAAACAAGGTAAGAAACACCCAACTCACCTCTGGAACTTTTACTGATCTTTTTCTTGTTTTTTTCCAGGTTCCAGAGGCATTTCAGCTGTTCAGGACGGTCAAGAGAGTAACTCCGCTAGCTGCGACGTACAGCCAAATGATTGAGCATCTATGCAGAAGCGGGATGCTAGACGAGGCGTGCAAAACTTTCGAGGAGATGATCTCTCGCAACCATCCGCCGAGTGCCGAGCTTTTCAACACGCTGATCCACGCGGTGTGCAAGTCTAAGAGGCTCCCAGACGGCGTGCTGCTGTTCCAGAGAATGAAAAGCATGAAGGAGTTCTACTGCCCTCCCAACTTGGAAACGTACAACATCATGGTGGACAACCTCTGCAAAGCCAAGCAGCTGGACGAGGCTCAGGAGCTCGTGAACGAAATGGCCAACTACGGCCTGTCCCCAGACGTGGTGACATACAGCGCTCTTGTCGACGGACTCTGCAAGCTTGGCAAGCTGGACCGGGCCTGCGACCTCCTGGAAGAGATGAGCAAGGAGGGAGTTTTTCCAGATTCCTTCACGGACGCCTCCATCCTCAACGCCCTGAGCAAAGCCGGCAAAGTCGACTACGCTCTCAGCCACCTGGAGACGATGAAAGCCAGGGGATCAACGCCGGACCTGGTGACTTACAACACCCTCCTCGACGGCCTCTGCAAGGCAGGACGTATCGACGAGGCCATCACGTTTCTGGCCAAGATGGTCGCGGCCAAATGCACACCGGACGTTTTCTCCTACACGATCATCATCACGGCGCTGTGCAGGAGCGGCCAGGCGGCCGGTGCTCACGCCATCTTCCAGGAGATGGTCAAGCGAGGCGTCCTCCCGGACACGGTCTTGTATCACTCGCTGCTGGACGGGCTGGCGAGGAACGGTCTGGAGGACCTGGCTCTGGAGCTGCTCAAGACGAGCCTGTGCAAGCCCGACTTCGTGATGCACAAGATGGTGTTGGACGGGCTGTGCAAGGCAGGGAAAGCCGAGGACGCTTGCGAGGTTGTGGAGAGAATGGCCGACGCTGGCTTCCCGGCCGATGCCTTCACGTATATCAGTGTGGTGAGTGGCCTCCGGAAGCTTGGAAAGGTGGACAAGGCTCGCCAGCTCGTGGACGACGCGTCCGAGACTCATACTAGCGTGGAGAGGCTGTCCATGGAGAAGGCCGAGGCTGGAGCGCTCTCTTAGCTTTGGAAGTCATAATGGCAAAGGAGCAGGGCTACATGGCAAACCGAGCTCTACATGCGATTTGGAGCTAATAGAAAGACAATAGTTATCACGCTATAAACCCTAAACCTTTGAAAAGGGGATATACTTTTATCGTTGGTATCTTCATAAACCCTAAACTTTTGAAAAGGGTGAGGGGCGAGAAGGATGTGGAGGTACGTGTTTTCGGAGCCAGATGCGCCACACTCGATCAACATCAGCGATGTGAGCTTGGATCCGACTGGGCTTCTCGAGTACGTGGAGACGCAGCACCAAGAGGGCGTTTGCCTGGACGAGCTGGCCATTCCGAGCAGCCCGCCACTGCCCTTGACCCCGGCGCTGTGGAGCTCGCATCTCCTCCAGGGCAATCCGCAGGCTAGCGGATTCGAGGCGCTCTACGCGTCCTGGAGCAGCTCACACCAGGAGCACGTCGCATGCAAGCAGCAGCTCCGATCGCCCGGCTGCAAGAAGGTGTTTTTCAAGCTCCTGGCGTTTGTGGCGGACCTGGTGGACTACGACCACGCAAGAGGTGCTCAGGAGAGGATTGATTACTTGCTTCCCACCGCCGCGGGACTGCTCAAGTCCCCTCTCTACTTCACCGCCCAGGAGAGCTCGCTGCTCGAGAGCTTTGTGTCGCCAAGCGGTGCTAGCGTGGCGGAGGCCGTGGCTCGCAAGTTTCAGTCGGCGCCGCTGTTGCAGGGCGTGTGCACCGCGCATGTCGTGGCGCCGCTCCTCAAGAGGCTGTTTTGCATTGGCGATGGCTGCTTTGGAAAGGAGTTTAACGAGTTCCGGGAGGAGTTTAACAAGGGGACGATCGCCATGATCCAGCAGCGGAGAAAGGAGGTCCACGCTTTCCTGGAGACGAGCGTAAAGCCGTCTAGCCAGCCGAGGAAACAAGAAAAGACCAACGCTAAGCTCCAAGGCAAAGACCAGAAGAAGAAAAGCACCCAAAAGAAGAAGTGAGAAAGAAGCGCCAGACTTGGGATGAATGTTTCTTCTAACACTCTATCAAAACCATTTTTTTTAATCAACATTGCCACAAGCTGGTCGATCCAATCCTAGTGAAGATTTGATGTTGTCCAGGGACTGCTTTATCTCTGGAGATTCAGCTCCAAATTTTTCTCCCCATATTTTTTAGCTCTGGCACCAGTTGTGAGCGTTTTCGAAGAGCTTGAGCCAGGGACTCGGCCCCGCCGGATCGATCTGCCACTCCCTCGGGTACCACGGGAACTGCCACATCATGAAGCACCTCTCCGGGTGAGGCATCATCGCCAAGTGCCTCCCGTCCGGCGAGCACAGGGCCGCCACACCTCTCGGAGATCCATTCGGGTTGAAAGGATACTGCTCGGTCACCTCTCCGGCGTCGTCGCAGTAGCGCAGCGGGGCCAGGTTGGAGTCGAGAACTTCCGTCAATATCTCGGGCTGAGGGAAGAATGCGCGGCCTTCGCCGTTGGCCACCCAGATTCCCACCGTCGTGCCTTCCATGCCTTTGAGCATGATGGACGGGGACTGCTCGATGGTAACCGACGCAAACCGGCACTCGAAGCGTCCTGACTCGTTGTGGACAAACCGGGGCTGTGACTTGTCGCCGCCGACGTCTTTCACTCCGGGAACCCAGCCCAGGAGAGCCATAAGTTGGCAGCCGTTGCAAACTCCAAGGCTGAAGGTGTCAGGACGATCATAAAACTTTTGGAACTGCAAGACAAGACCACTTTGCTAGACCTCCCGAAAGAGAAGAAAACGTTTTACCTCGTCAAGAAGAGACTTGTTGAATCGTATAGTTCCGGCCCAGCCTTTGGCGGAGTCGAGGACGTCTCCATAGCTGAAACCGCCGACGAAGACCAGCCCTCTAAAGTCGCTTAGAGAAACCTTCCCGTCCCGTAAGTCGGACATGGAAACGTCCCAGGGATCAAATCCCGCACAGTAAACCATAGCTGCCATTTCCCGGTCACCGTTGCTACCTTCTTCGCGGATAACAGCGACCTTGTGCTTTTTCGTCGACATCAGAGCTTGCTTGTTGATCTTTGTGGGCAGTGAAGGAAGATTCCAGAGTGGAGTGGTCCTCGAACTCAGCCCTTCTTGCTCAGCTTTCACGCAGGACTCGAGGCATTGCTGCTTTTCCAAAGCAAAACTGGTCTCCTCCCAGGTGTCCCGCAGAGACGCTGTCGGCTCGTCAAGGTATAGTTTACCATTGACGGAGAGTTTTACTGTCGGCTCTGATCTCACACGTCCCAATACTTCACAGACTACTCCGTGACTATGAAGAACTTCAATCACTTTGCCCAAGTTGCCGCGATGAATCTGCACAGGAGGAAGTGAGTTAATAAAACGTGAATACTTTGGGCAACCTCATAAATAAGTCCAAGTTCCTCCGAAAAGAGCGCGCTGAAAGCCGCTGTGTCTGGTTCTGAAGCGGGAATGTCTACTTCAATGCCACAATTGCCCGCAAAAGACATTTCTAGCAATGAAACTATAACTCCACCATCGCTGATATCATGTCCCGCAGAAATAAGTTTCTTGCCAATAAGGTCCTGTCCGCAGTAAAATCCACATGGTTTCAAAAAGAAAAGCGATGAATGAAAAGATCACCTGCGTCGCATTGAAGGCACGTTTTAAATATTGGACATTAACGTCCGGGCAAGTATCACCAATCTGCAGTGGAAGTTAGCAAGGAAAGAAAAACACAGTTTGTCTCAGACCTGATCAAAAGCTTGGGCCAGTGCAGAACCTCCTAGACGACCTTTGCCACTCCCAACATTAATGTGCAAAAGAACACCTTCATCTCCCAACTGGAAGAAGCAAGTAATCGGATTTAAATGAAAGGGATCTGAATTTCAGTACCTTCAAATCAGGGGTGACGGTGAGTGTAATGTCTGGACAAGTCACGTACGCACTAATGACGAGATTCCCGGGTGCCTTGACGGTTTCACCACCTGCTTGAGCAGCCATTGACAAGCTGTCCTTTCCACCGTCTATTGCGACCTCAAGCTCGATCATAGCGTCGCGAAGAGCAACGGCAGCATCGTACATATCTGCTCCTTCGGAATCAAGCTTTGCAGCGTACATCCAGTTCCCGCTTGCTTTGACATCCTTCAAAGCGGTAACCTGCAAAGTTAAACACATCATAAGGTGTGTAACAATCAAGATGAGAGTACCTTAGCCCAAACAAGATTCGTCAAAGCTTCTCCAAGCGCCACCCTAGCCATGGCTGCAGGATTCAGCAGTCCCTGCAAATTGTCTTCAGAAAAAAGTAAAGAATTTTCAATCTACCTTGATCGGTTGTTCACCAATAGCGCAAGCAGCACCGGTGAGACCAAGATGGCTCTGGAATAACAGAACGTGAGATGCCAACAAGATTATCACTAGACACCTGAGCAATGACTGCAACGTCCGCCAAAGGGAGCTGCAGGGGTCCAACAGTTTGCTGCTGAGCTACCAGTCCGGTGACACATCGATCAACCTGCACAAGGCAAATGTTTAGAAGACTACCAGCTGTTATCCAAAGTATTTAAACCTTTGTCGTTAGAAAACGCTTCGAGCACACTGATGGTAAACTGAGCACACGTCTCAAGGCATCCCTCACCGAGACTCCTGGCGTAATATCTAGAGGTTCACAAGTTACTGGTTTCCTATCAAAAGTAAATGTTTTGCGTGGCATGTCTCCGAGAACCTGAGACATGAATGCTAGCTGAACGACAAGAAGAAAAAATCGAACGTTCTACCTTCTCAAGGTCCAAATCAACCGCCGGCGGATGTGGGGAGACATTGTTGGCTTCAGCTAGTTTCTGGGCTGCGCTGTCTATAAGAACAATCTTTCCCTCGCCACTAAAACATATTTTGAAAACTATCAATACGAATGAGTGATAAAATGGAGAACGGTACCTGATTTTTCCTATCACAGCCATGGACACACGCTCCCTGTCGCAAATAGACTGCAGTAAAGCCTCACTTTCTGGTCTAATCAATAAAGCATCCTTCACACATGTAAACAACGTGAGTCGATCTGGAAAGGAAAACAAAAATGATATCTACCTGTTCTTGGTACTCGGCACCCCAGATTTCTAAAACTGACATTGTTTCGTCACCAACAACAATAGACCTTATGTCAATTGTTGCTCCCTAAGATTCACAGATAATCCAGTTACGCCTGGGAAGTAATGAGTGAGCTTACCTTGGGGTATATTATCTCTTTAACAACGTTACAGTTTCCTCCAGCGCCTTGATCGTGAATGCTAACGATCGGATTATCATCGCCCATTTCTACACAGGTGCGAATTACGCGGTAAAGTTTCTGTGCCATTTCCGCATCTCCTCGCTGGACTGCGTTGAAATCTAGCTCGGCATCATTTTGGCCACTAACCTGGAACACATAATAGTTTAAGGTAATGTGTGAGGCTGAGCTCCTTACCATGCTAGATGCAGCTCCCCCACCCATCCCGATTCGGTATGCTGGACCGCCAACCTACAAGTTACAGGTAGGAAAAGCAAAGAAAGACAAATAAAAGCTACCTTGACAACAAGCATGCCAAGATCTGGATCTTCTTTCTTCAAATGCTTTTCATCGATCTGAATCAACACATTTGGTTTATTTTTATTATGTATGGAGTCTTACCGACCTGACCAATTCCTCCACTGAACATTATCGGCTTGAGCCACTCCCTCCGTTCACCATTAGGCAGTCTCATGCCGAAAGTACGAGTGTATCCCTGAGCGAGTGGGAATCATTAAACCGCTAAAGGAAGGGTAGCATTGTTACCTGAATCAGAGGCTCCCCAAACTTGTTACCGTAATCAGAGGCTCCGTTACTCGCATCGATAAGAATCTAGAAGAAAAGGTGCACGTCATGTCAGCTCAAAGGCATTTGAAGGAAGTACCTGAAGAGGAGGAGCCAAGTTCGGAGGATAAGCAAATGAAGAATCTTCCCAGGGAGCAAACGTTCCTTCAAGCTAAAAACGTTTGCTGATGTTAAGTTTCCATGCTACAAACTCAAATTAATGCAAACCTGCAGATTTCCTACACAGTAACCTGCTGTCGAGGCAACAACAAGAGAACCTATGCCAGTTGCATGCGTATCGCGAATACGACCACCAGCACCAGTTTCGGCTCCCGGAAAAGGCGCAACCTGTTTGTAACATTAATCTCCATGAGCTGCACCAAGAACTGTACCTTACCGCGCAAGGGAAGTTGTGAGTTTCAGCAGTGAAAAGGATACATAAGTCCCTTGTGACAGGTACGATAACACATGGAATTCCAGGACGTGACGGAAGGAGCACTTCAGCACGAAATCCCCGAATGGCACTGTTTCAATTACAGCCAGGTTTTTGCAGGATAGAAACATCACCGTACCTCGAATTATCTTTGAACCCAATGACAGAGTTGTTCCGATTTGCTTTTAACGTATCGGCGACAAGTTCCATTAGAGACTTTGGCATGGCCCTTCCGTCAATGACCAGTTCGCCCTGTAGACATAATTGCAAGTTACAAGCCAGAGAAAACTCATGCTTTCCACACCTTGAAAAACCAGTGTCGGCTGTGTTCGCTGTTCGATTGGGCAATATCAAAGAGTTCCACATTGGTGGGATTCCGTTTGATATCCACTTGAAATAGATTTGTGTAATACTACAGCACAGTACTGTTCAGAACCTCTTTAGCATTTGCAGACACTACCTTAAGGTCATCTTCGTCAAACGCAAGACCCATCGATTTATTTATCTCCTCCAGAGCTAGCCTTCCTTTCTTAAAAGAAGAAGAAAGAACATATAAACAAGTGCAGTGGAAAGGAGAATAACGCACCTCCATGACCGGTATAAAATATATTGGTTCCGGAACCACATTTATTTTGAATGTGCTTAATGGTGTTGGATATACGGTTTCAGTCATCCTGTCGTGAACCTGAGTGAGAAAAGTTATTAAAAAGGAGAAAAACAAAGCAAGCTTACCATGGAACTGAACTTATTTATTTGTAGCTCATCTAGAGGAGAGGTGCCAGGACTCAGATTCAATAGATATCTGCGAGATCTCTCAATACGATCAATTTCCTGCAAATCGCAGGACTTGAAGATTGACAAGGCATTCGCGGACCAGGCCGTAGTAAATGAGAGTCGAGGTCCAAATTCAAGCAGTATAGCCCCTGTTGAACGTAAAGTTAGTTGCAAGGAAAGTACAATGTACGCTAATTACATACTGTCGGATTTCTCAGACAGAGAACTTGTCGAGAGAAGGTTCTCCGGTTCAAAAGTTTCTTGAAGAAGCCATTTCAGATGTTTAAGCTTGGCTTCTGATAGAGGCGCCTTCAGCGATATGTTATAACACTTTCAAGTAACACCATATTAGCCAGACACTGTAGTATATATATAAAAAAGAATAACCTGTTCCGTGTCAATGGATAGAACTTCCCCTGATACGTCAGATTGGACCTGTATGACGCTATCAAGATCATGCAACACAGATTCCCACTCGCAAAGAAATGTCCACCTTCCTGAGAAGTTGAGCGGTAGCATTTGATGAAAGGAACGGGCGTCGATAGTAATGAAGCATTTCGGGAAGAGCTTCATCGCTTCCCAGAACAATCTGTGAGGAAAAAAAAACGAAACCATCAGCCATAGACCAAACCAAAGATTTCATAGAAAAGTCCTTACTTGCTGCTGCTTGGAGGCTACACCACGAGGAAAAGCTCCAAAAATGCGAGAGCTTGCGGACGAGAATGCGCTCTTGCTTTGAGCTGCAAAACAAACTAGAAATTCTCACAAGAGGAAAGAAGGAACCTTTTCCAAACTCGATCGAGAGGAATCCATACCCGAGAAAGCGGCCGGACAAAAAGCTCTCCGCGTCTTCTGCCCCGGAAGGATGCTACAACACAAATTTCCCACGAGATTACGATCCGCGACGAGGAGATCGAGCGAATACCTCGGCTGGCGCTGGAAATGCGATTGGACGAGCTGCGCCTGGCCGCAAGACATCGCGCCCAAAGCTTAAACCCCCCGAAACCCTAATCCAAAGAGCGCATATTGCAAGGATATACTGTTCTTCCCATGGCGGATCGCGGCGGCGGCCCTAGCGGCGTGGAGGTGAGGGTGGACAGCGATCGAATCGGCAAGGCCGTGGACGCGCTGCTGCGATGGGTCGCGGGGGCCAAGGATCAGCAGCGCATTCGTCTCCTGGACGAGGATCAGCTCCTCTATCTGGTAATCTCTCTCCGGAAGATCCCCGAGAGCGCCCGGGTGCGCCCTCACAGGATTCCAATCCCACACCCGCTGATAGAGGCGGGCGGGAGCCAGGAGGTTTGCCTCATCGTCAACGACCTAAGCCGCGGGATGCCGCGCAAGGAGGCCAAGAGGAAGATCGCGGAGGAGGGTCTCAAGGTTTCCAAGGTGCTGGGCTTCTCCAAGATGAAGAAGGACTTCGCGAGCCACGAATCCAAGCGCAAGCTCTGTGGCTCGTATGATCTCTTCCTGGTGGACAGGAGGATCCAGCCCTTCCTCTCCAAGGCCCTCGGCAAGGCGTTCTACCAGAAGAAGAAGATCCCCATTCCAGTGGACCTCTCCAAGGGGCAGTGGAAGAGCCAGTTTGAGAGCGTTTGCAGCTCCACCTTCTTGTTCCTCTCGACTGGATCGTGCAGCGTTGTCAAGGTGGCCAGGATCTCACAGACGAGGGAGGAGATTGTGGAGAACTTGATGGCGGTGATCGACGGGGTGGCGGGGTTGATGCCCAAGAAATGGGACAGTATCATGGCGCTCCACTTGAAGACGATGGACTCGCTGGCCCTGCCAATTTATCAGTCCAAGCCGAGCTTCCCGCTCAAGATCGACGTGAATTTCGGGAAGAAGAAAAGACCATCGGGCGTTGGAAAGCTCGATCCTTTGGTGGTGAAGAAGAAGATTGAGAGTCCTCCGAGAACCTCTCCTCTGGTGGCGATGGAGAAGAAGACTGCGAGCTCTTGGAAAAGCTCGTCCAAGAAAAAGAAGAAGCTCAAGGAGCAAGTTTAAGAAGAAAGTCTTTCCTAAAAATCTCTGAGCGGGAAAGTTAGCAGCAGGAAATGTTTTGCAAGAACAACTGAGCTGCATGAACGCTTTAGCAATTTGAAAAGAAAGTGAGTTTCATTCCGTTAGCTAATTTGTTTCCTTTATTTTGGTTTTTTATTGGACTTTAAACATAGACCCAGTACCTTATTCAGTACTAGTTGGTAATTGGCGAGCAATGCTAGGCTGTTGGGAACACTTCCACCATCAGAAGAGCTAAGATCCCCACTAAGTAAAATATTTGGACTGTTATAATTTTGTCACACATCACACCCCACTATAGAAAAGGGAAAAAACATCATCGTTAGTTCCTGGACAAAAGTCCTTGAGCTCCAGAGAATAAGGCCATAGTGCTTGTTGATTCCAGAAGCAGAGGCATCAGGCAATTCAGCAGCCACAAACCTCACCTTGTCAAGTGCAAGATCCTGCTCTCTCATTGGCATGTTGGCATGGCCCTGCTCTCCCCACTTCTCTAGTGCAATTTGCCTTACATGCAGAAATCTGAAGTTTTTTCCAAGAAACCAAAATGTTAAATATACTTTTGCCTTTTTTGCCGGGGAAAGAAGAAATATGCCCCCCCCATTCAACAATCTAAAAAATTCTAATAAGCTCATCTCACTGTAGCTCCACCCTTCTATTAATAGACATTTGTTCAAAGCATTGATCGGATTGGTTTCCATGTTCCTACTCTCTCAACAGGAGCATCGATCGGCTGCTTTTCCAGTGCATCGCAGGCTCTCAATCTCAGCTACAATTACCTGATTGAGAAGCATTGGAAAGACGTGAGCAAAGCCCTCAGTCACGAAAAGAAACTGAGGACGAAAACATACTCTCTAGAATCCAATGCCAAAGAGTAAGGCTGCGGCTGTATGCCAAGAACGGGAACCTTGCCGAGGGGCGGAGATGTTCCAGAATATTCGCTACCCTCCTGAAAACTTATTTATGGGCATTTGGATCGTGTTTGGTTCGATGCCCCAGCGCACAGTTGTCGGCTTGCGCTGGAAGCCTCAAAGATGGCAAGATATTCTTCGATGGAATGCCCGACAAGAATCTCATCATCCATCTGGGCTGTGCCTTGGTTTTCCAGGGAGGAGATTGTAGCCGCTATGGGGTGGAATGACGCTCGCCGCGATCGCAAGCCTGCTTCTACTTCAGGCGCGTCCGCGAGACTCAGCCGATCTCTGGAAATCGCTACTCGGTCACTGGTCTCGTTTTGATGCGGATGAGCTACATTTTCATAGATCTTCAGTGGAGCATGGCTCAAGAAGCTGAAATCACCGGTTTTCTCTAGCTTGTTCTTTAAGAACAATTTGCTACTTTTATCTAGGGCCTGTTTACCATGGATCTCCATTACTGCTGGAAATCATCGGCCCACTTGGTGCAAATAGGTGAGAGGAAGTGGTCAAGGTTTTTCTCAAGCAAAAGCCAACGTTGTCTGTCTCAGCCCCATTGTTTTTCTTCTTTCGGATTTTGCTACAGCGCTGTTGATAATTTTCATTAGAAAACGTCTCTCTGCTGTTCACAATCACTACACTCGTCTTCTGGAGCTGCAAATACCTTCCAAAGGCAGGAGAAAAGTAAGATTGGAACTTTAGAATTACTTACTCCATGCTTTTTCTTACAGGTGAAACTCTTGACACTGAAGAGGTCTTTTGAATCCCTTCACAGTTTTTGTCTATGTTGGAGGATCGACATCGTCTTTATTGTATGCTTGGCTCCCTATGCTTCATTGCGGCATATCACACTTTGGAATTAATTTTCACCATAGTTTTTCTATGCAGGAAATGCTCTGCTTGCTGCTTTTGCATGGGTCATGGCTTCACACTTCGCAATGTATCCTGTTGTCCTGTTGATTCCAGTATGTTAACGCACTTCTGATCTTGCAAGTCTAATTCCTTGCGTCTATTTTTAAGATTGCTCCACCCCAATACTGGACCAATATAACACCTCGTATGAAAAGGATTGAGGAAGTTGTAGTAAGAAAACAATAGGACTACATACCATCGTGACAAAGAATCAGGTTACACAATCCTAGTATGCAAGATTGTGTAACTTGAGTCTTCGGGGCATACTCCTGAACTTATTGCTCCGGTCCCGATAGATATCTCTGGTATTTCCCGACTCATAAAAAGGAAGTTAAATCCAATGTCGAGTATTTCATAATCTTTGCCTCTACTGTGCTAATCCTAATCATAAAGTAGTTGTGTGTCCCAAGAAGCCTCCCCGACTACTCGAGTTCACTCTGCCTCAAGGTCCACCTTTGTTGCAAATAGAGTAGGAGCTATTTGTTTGGACTCCCCGAATAAAAATCACTTTTCTTCTTTATCAAGCTCCTCACCACCTTTCATCAAAGCCACCATCAATTCCCGCAACTTCTTCATCCCATGTCTCCTTTCTTTCACCGGACAATCAGGATTCAAGGCTCTAGCGCTACTGGACTTGGGTGCAACTTCCTGCTTCATAAACACGGACTTTGCTGCTTAACATCACGTTCCTCTTTCTCTTACCATATAGGATTTGAGGGTTGAAGGCATCGGTGGGCATTTTGTGTCTCCATCTTTTGGACTTAGAGAAATGTTGCCTGTTCGAGTACACATTAGGTCCACCTTCATTAATATTGCCTTTAACATCATCAACAACAAGTCCTCCTCTGTGGTGCTCAGCTTTCCTTGGTTCCAACTACACCAGCCTCAAATCTGTTGGAAGGAATTACAGCTTGTCTCTCCCACGTCTTCATCGAGTTTGAATCAGGAAAAGTTCCCTAAACTCAAATCAGGGTTCTGTTCCTAACTCTACAAAGTTTTCACCCTCTTCTTTCCCCTCTCTTCCATCTTACATTGGACAGTATCTTCATCTCATCATTCCATTCAATTGTACGCCTCCTTCTCCACAATCACTATGAAAGAACTCCTTCACGAAGAACCTATTTTCATTTTTGCTTTGCATGTTTCTCCTGTCAATTTTCCTGAGAAGTATCATGATTTTGGGGATGTGTTTGACAAGAAAAAAGCTAGTGTACTACCTATTCATCGGCCTTACGACTGTCCCATTGATTTACAGGAAGGAGCATCACTTCCATGGGGGCTTATCTACGGGTTATCCCTGTCCAAGCTTAAGGCCCTCAAAGAGTACGTGGACAAGAACCTTGCCTCAGGGTACATTCAGCATTTGCAATCCCCAGCTGGAGCACCTGTCTTCTTTGTCAAAAAGAAGGATGGGAGTTTGTGGCTAGTCATCAACTACTGAGGTTTGAACAAGGTGACTGTTCGGAACCGTTATCCACTACCCCTAATCTCGGACCTATTGGAATGCCTTGGCGGTGCCCGCTTCTTCACCAAGATTGACCTCTGTGGAGCATATAACTTGATCCGGATCCAGCTTGATGATGAATGGAAGATTATGTTCCAAACCCCCTATGGCCACTTCGAGTACACTGTCATGCTGTTTGGCTTGACAAATGCTCTAGCAGTTTTCCAACATATGGTGAATGACGTCTTTCGGGAGTTTCTTGATCAGATGGTGATCATCTACCTCGACGACATCCTCATTTACTAAAAAACTCAGGAGGAGCACGACGAGCATGTGCGCAAGGTGTTGGTGAAGCTGCGGGAACACGGCCTATACGAGAAGCTTGAGAAATGTTCCTTTGATTAAGAGTCTATGGAGTTCCTTGAGTATATTGTCACTCCTGAAGGTATCACGATGGATCCTACCAAAGTCAAGACTATTCTCGAATGGGAGCCTCCACAATCAATGTCAGACGTTCAAGTTTTCCTTGGCTTTGCCAACTTTTACCGTAAATTCATTGCTCACTACTCCGACATTGTCCTTCCTCTCATGCATCTCATTCGCAAGGATATTCCCTTCTCTTGGTTTGCTATTGCCCAGCAGGCCTTTGACACACTCAAGGTGGCCTTCAGTTCTGCTTCCGTCTTGATCCATGCTGATCCCTCACAACCTTTCTTCATTGAGGCGGACGCCTCCAACTTTGCCATTGGTGCTGTGTTGTCTTAACTCGGAGCGGATCAGGAATTTCATCCAATTGCTTTCCATTCTCGGAAATTCTAGCCTGTGGAGATTAATTACGAAATCCATGACAAGGAGCTCCTTGCCATCATGGATTCCTTTGGAGAGTGGCGTTGTTTCTTGGAGGGGCCAATCCATCAAACAATGGTCTGGACGGATCACAAAAATCTCGAGTACTTTGCCACTTCCCAAGTTTTGAGCCATTGTCAAGTAAGGTGGGCACAATTCTTGACTCGATTTGACTTTGTTATCAAGTACAGACCTGGAAAGCTTCAGGGCCTTCCTGATGCTCTTTCAAGGCACTCCTATCTTAGTCTCAAGCCTGGTAATCCTGCCTTTGATCAACAGGATCAGGTTATCCTCAGTCCTAATGAACTTCACGTTATGACAATTTCCCTGGCCCCTTAGGACTCCTCCTTGATGGATGCGATCAGAAACAATCTTCAATCCAATGACCTCGCTAGCGACATTTTCCCCCATCTTCCTAGTGGAATGTTCCTAGATTGCAAATTTGGACACGGGATGAACACCATTGTGTTCAAAACAATCTCTACATTCTATAGATATGCCAAATGAGCAAATTTGGACACTTTCCATAAATAGCATTTGGGACCGAAATGAGACTAACACAAAGGGTATGATAGCGAGGGTGTTTGGCAGACACGGTAAGCTATCATTTAGCGATGTTGAGGGACTAATCTCAATATCGCGGGGGTTCTTGATACTAGCAAGTGCAAGCCAATGACAAGAGTTTCTCAAACCAGGCCAAAGTATGCTCAACAAGAAACACATAGTGTTCCTACCTTATGTTTATCTGATCTAAGTACACGGTCATTGACTAGTTTCTCAACTAGCTCAAATGGGAAACTGATAATGGGTCCAGCAATACCGACCTCCTGCCATCGTGGCAGTAAAGAAAGAATATCCAAAAGGACTAGCCGACATGTAATTTTCGATACCCAAAGTCACATTTGCGACACTCTCCCCCCTTTAGGGAAGATCGACGTCGTCGTCGATGGATACTCCAGTCTAGAATACTGCCAAGGAAACAACCCTAGAAAAAGTTCACGGTATTCACACTATGTGAGAAATGCACCAACTTAAATGAGTTAAGGGTAA